AGACCATTGGGTACGAAAAGGTTTAAGTCATCATGTGAAATATCTAGTTCTAAAACAAAAACACAACGTCGATGTAAAAAATGTGGGAAAGTTGGGCATTATCAAAAGAATTGCAAAGAACAATGAATAGATGACTAATTCATTAATATTATTATAATGTATAATTAATGTACTATTTGCTGTAATAATGTGTATAATAATATATTATTTTTTTTCGCTATGCTAATAAATAATAATTGTTCGAACATGTAAATATATCAATCACGTGAAATTGTTTATCATGTGATATTTTGGGGTGTGGCGATATTTCGCTATGGCGATAAAAAACAAAATCCATTTGTAAATATGTAATTCGGCCAGAATTATGCACTTAACTCCGGCAGGAATTATTGAATTTCCTAAAAAGGAAATTTAGGTTACACAAAATGCCAAATTGGTTCCTATAAAAATTTTTTGTGGAACGGTTATCGCCAAAAAAGGAAATGATCGACATATCCGTTTTGACTGGAGTTTAAAATTATGAATTAATTCCAGCCGGCATTATGAATTCGGCTGAAATTATTAGTAAAATCAAATCTGAGATTTGAATCAAATCTGTCAGATCAAATCTGATCAGATTCAGATTTTAAATAAGCCTAATCTGAATCTGATCTGATCTGATCTGATTTGATTTGAAGCTAATCTGATTTGTTCAGATCAAAAAAAAATTTGATCTGAATCTGAACAGCAGATTAAATTTATCTGATCTGATCTGAATCTGACAGATCAGATTCAGATCAAATCTGATCAGATCAGATTTTTTTCGGAGCACTACTATGCAGGGTCTTGCCTCTTGCTAATATACAGTTACAGAGTAATGCTATACTTTTTTTTTGTTGCCTCTCCCTTTCAGCATGACGATAAATTTTTTTGGCATGCTTAAAGCAATAGTCTGTATAAGATAATGTAGGTTTATCATATATTCTACATAGAAATTTTAGCATATTATTTGCACCTGATTTCCAGTGGAGCAAGCATCCCACCAAGCAAGTGCAAATACGGCCACAAACACTTCCATCTTTTTTAATGTGGGCAGGTAAAACGATCCATTTATTATATTCTTGCACCTTTCACATTATAGAATTCGAATTTCAAAATGGAAAAATCTGAATTGAACTTGGGTGGAAAAAAACAAAAAATATATACCACATCATATTACTTACATTTCTATGGATACACAAAAAACAGTACTCAATATTTTGTCAGACTGATAGATCAACCCAAAAGGAAAGCTATTCCAGAAGTTGATTCGTGAAGGTTATAAATATGCTGATAGACTTTCAGATTATTTAGAAGATATTGGGACTATAAATATTGGTGAATTCGAATTAGAAGCCTTAATTGACTTCTACTATCCAGCCTTAATTCCACCTTTATCTGTCTTAGCAACTAGAGCAGATATTCGTAAAAACTTTCCTATTAGTGTAGAATTTGCTGTCATAGGAGGAGCGAGTCTATTTACTCTCAAAAAAAATAAATGATCTTTGCTTCAAAATCTAATCCAAATAAATTATTCCAGTGATAACTTGACTATGCTAATAGGAATAACTTGAAAGCATAAAGAATTGAAAGCTTGGAGAAACGACGTGCTTATGAAATTCCTTCATCATTCGAATTTAGCTCCTTCAAAGCATAGACCAGATGCATTATATGATGTATTTACCAAGACTAGTGTTTTAGGATCAGAACATATATTAGCTCTAGCATGAGCATTTTATTAAGGCGTGATTATGATATAAATAAATTGTTTATAACCCTGAAATGGCAGTTCAATGACTATATATTTTTTCGCTTATAGTCATATATACCTGCAAAATTCAATTTTTTTTTATTAATATATAAATTAATACAAATGTTCAGGACGTAGCCTGTGATATATGACATCTATCTAATATACATAATTATTTTTTCTTAACTATCTCTTTTATATGGCGCTTCTTAGTTGCGAGTTCCTCACTACCTACTGCTCTATCCTTTAATAATCCTACGATCACTTCTAAAACCCTCTTCACATTTTTACGCAATTCTGTATCATCTTTGAGAGCGTTTTCTGTAAGTGAAATTCGATACTCAGTCCTGCTCGTACTATAGATGCCTTCAGTGCTATGCAGAATGAAGTACCAGTCTGTCTCAGTACTGACTATACCATAGACATAGTCATAGTCAGGATCGAATGCCTCATCAACCTTCCATTTTTTCTTGTTCATAATTATATTCATCTAGAGGGAAATAGAAAAGTAAGTTAGCAATAGATACCCATAGTTGCTTGATTCTGTTTGCCTTCGGTTATGCAAATTATTTCCTTCAATAACTCGCTGATAATTTTTTTGATGGTATAGTCGACACGGCCTGTGTTTTCTTCACCAATTATATTTGCCTGAGGTGTGATTACCAAGTCATCGAGAATACTTACAGCCGTATGTAAGATCGTTGAAATATACTTGCACTACATAGATTTGTTACTATTTACAACTGGTCCCATATTTTTTATTCTACGAAGGATATTATCAATGCATAGCTTAAATTTAGGAGTGCTTTCATTAATAGTGTGGGTGGCTATATTATGATATGTGAGCTCGAAATATATAAAAGAATCCTTTAATCTGATATTACTTACGTGGAATGAACTGTGGAATGCAAGTTATATCTCCGCTAACAATCCCATACTTGCACAACATTTCATTCAACTCTTTCTTAGTTTTATATGAGGAGAATGACCTTAACTTTTTCTCCTTATATTCCTTGGCAAAGTCCACAAGAGCTGTTACAGGTCCTAATTTCATTCCATGACACTCAAGCTTTTCTTTGGTTACTTTGAAAAAGGTACGGCCATTAATCTCTTCATTTTCTAATATTTTAAGAGCTAACTCGCTAAGTCCTAAATCCTTCCCTATAAAAAGTATTATACTTAAAATATACTTAAAATATATTTAAAATATACTTAATTTAAAAATTGCAAAATACTTATAATGTATTTTTAATATATCTAAAATATACTTAAAATTATCTTAAAATAACTGTCTAATATATTTAATTATTATAAGTATATTTTTTACATACTTAAAATATACTTAAAATATATTATGAAATATATTATAAGAATATTTTAAGTATGTAAAAAATATATCTATAATATACTTAAATTTTAATTTAAATA